CCCCACTCCTGTCAGGAGCCTGGCGAAGGGCGGCGATTAAGGGACGGGGTGATGCTGATAATTAGGGGGGAGGCAGCCAACACATCACAATATATATATATATATAATACTTTTAAAATGTATTTCACTACAGATTACAAAATACACGCTTTAAAAAGTAATCAGTAATGTATTTCGTTAGATTACTCAGGTTTAGTAACTTAATCTAAATACTTTAGAATACTTTGAAATACTTAAGCTATGTAACACAAAGGAACATATATTAACTTGATATCTTGTTTTTATGTTTTCCAACTCTAAATGAAAGTGACTCTACCAGTCATAAGATTTGTGTTTTCTTTGTATTTTATTTTTAACAACATCAGTTTTCCACAGCATTTCTATGAACAACAACAAAAAAAAAGATATATATTGAATATAAATTCAATTTGAATACAATGAATGGGATTCCGTGCTGTTTCATGCTGCATTCCAAACTTCAAAACGAATCCAAACACACCAAACATGTCATAAAAGTAGCCAAAACAACTGGCACAGTTCTCCAAGTTATACAATAGATTTGTTTAATGAATGGACCAAACTTTAAGCGATTACTTCACTGTTAATCCTCTCTATGGAGAAGCGATCGACACAAAAGAATCGCTGAGTCAAAATTGACGGCTCATTTCCCAAAGCACCGGTCGCAAGGAATGTCGTTGTAGTTCAATGTAATTTAACAACCACAGTTCGCTAACGATGCTTTTGGGAAACACCCCAGATCTATCCAGTTTAATGTGAACCATTCACACTGGTTTTGCTAAACAAAATAAACGATTCACTTAAAAGATTGACTCAAAAGAATTATCTGTTCACGAATCGGATCATGAACTCGCAATACCGCGCCAAAGGTGATCTATTCTTGAACATTTCGAATGAACAAAGACTTCAAGTTCATCTGTAAAGCACACAAAGCTATCGTTTGACTTTATAAATGTTTATTTCATGCATGATTCATATGGATCTGTTAACTGAATGCGAAGTGTGAATTCTAGGAGAATTCTGTGTCATTTTTTAATTAAATTCTTAGAAATATTAAACGTAATGATAACCATTCAACACTCAAAATATGGGAATATAGAAAAACGAGTTACTGGATAAAATTTTTCAAAGATCAAGAACAAATTCCCTCAAGATGCTTTTTCAGATTAGAAGTTGAATCCTTCGATGCTGATAGAAGTTTTGTTGCAGGTAGGCATTGCACTGCACTGAGATGTTACGTCATTTTTCAGATTTATAAGTAAAATAGTCTTTGTATTTCCACAAGAGAAATGCATTACGCGAATGGCTTTCTGTTGTGTCGGCCATTTTTGTGTCTTGATGATGAGCATGTATGCACTCACTACCAGTTGCTTGAACGAGCTGCTGCACGCAGTTTTTTTTTTTTTTCAACGGAAAATCAGTTGCCTTGTTGGTTAAAATCCCCAAACTGTTTACTTAAATATTAAATTAAGAAATGACATTAAAATTCAAAGTAATCACTATTGTAATATAAAATTATTTTCGGATGTAACTGTAATTTGATTACCACCTATTTAAAATGTAATTATAACGAAATACAGTTACTCATATTTTGTATTTTATATACGTAATGCCGTTACATGTATTTCATTACTCCCCAGCCCTGTATATATATATATATACAGGTGCATCTCAATAAATTAGGATGTCGTGGAAAAGTTCCTTCCTTTTTTTGTCATTGTAGGGCAGAGTGATTCCTGTTAGTCTGAGTGGGTCAGACAAATCAGGAAAAGAGCTTGAGATTGAGGAAAGAGCATTGGATATCACTCTTCGTCAAAGTGCACTCACACTTCTGGGAAGTGGCTAGGTTCTCGCTTCACATCGGAACGGCGAGTCAGAGAGCGATCAGTTCAAGAATTAGCCATGACAGACCATTTCTGCTCTCGAGGAGAGGGGAAGTGATGAGGGCGCCCCCATTTTCTCTCCCTCCTGGAAAAGGTGGCAATGGGACTCACACAAACTGTTCTGGCCCATGCTGATCTGAATCTAAAATGCCTTCTTAAACTTGACTAATGTTTCTGTGTTTTATAGCTTGTCAGATTGATGTAGGGTTTCATGACGTGAGTCAAAATAAGATCTGATTTGCACCGTGCCTGCTGTTTCCCAAACACAGCGACCGTGGGCGATCAGCAACCCCCCGCTTACATTTAAAAATGCGCCGTGAGGATTAGCAAGCAATGCTAATTGTTTTCCACATCTCTGCTGAGTAATACTCTGTGGTTTAAGACAGCACTTCTTTACAGAGAACTGACTAATTCCTCTTGTCCTGGCAGGATTAAACTGTGCAAATGAAAATTCAAATCAACCCGGTCTGGCCTTGTAAATTACTCGCAATCAAAGCACTTAAAGAGAGAGATGTGTCCCGACACAGTTTCAGTAAAGGTTTTTATCGCTCCTCATTGACCTCAGCTTCAGTCCGTGAGGATAAAAGCTGAACATGATATAAGCTTTTATGCGACTTATTGATTTTTCAGCTTTTTAACATTTAATTATTTGGATACAAAATTCCACTCTGCATACATCAGGAGCCATGAAAATCACACTTGAGCGAGATACACCAGAGGAGGAGATTCATAATACCTCATTTACTTCCGTTCAGCCTAGCTAGCGAAGACAGCCCAACACATCTGGAGATGAGAGTAAATTATTATCAACGGCGCCGTAGTGTACGACTGATGGCTGGTTTTGTTTTTTAATTAGTGTACATAAGAATAGGGCTGCCAGATGTCAGTGTGTTCACCTGCCGTCCTTGAATCAAACGGTTCGTTCCTGGGCTGAAACTATAACAGCTGTACCCTTCCTCCCCCACCTGCCATCCTCAGACATGCAAACTTTCTTATAGAAAGAGCATACACTCAGAGAGGAAGACGATTCCAGCCTCAGCACGGGTTCCGTCCTGTAGAAGGTGTTTGCCTTTCTTGTTTGGTAACATAAATGATCTTGAAGTGTAATTAAGCATGTCCTCAATCCTCATTCCACTGCTGTACGGATGCTCTAATTAGTGCTATCTGAAGGGCCAGGTGGCCATCTTGTCTTGTCCCAGAAGAGGATAGTTATTTTGTTCCATTTGTGTTATCTAATTATTCATTTTAACATTTCCACCCTGGCTACATATCCTCCACAACCCCCACGGTTTCCATTTCCATCTTGACTCTCGTAGTGTCAGCTCCGAAAGCATATTACGCTCACTCTCTCTTTCTGTCTTTTTTTCTCTTTCTTTGTTTTGTGTTATGTTCTCCTTATTCCCCCATGAGACCTGGTTTGTTTACACTGCCTTTTCCACATCTTTCTCTGTGCTGCTGCAACGGTAATCTCTCTTTCAAATATTTGTTTCTTCCATCACAGGATTTTCCGCCGTGCGTCGCATTCCCAGAATCTTAACTGTGAATCATCGCAGTCACTTTTTCATACTTGCCATCTCCCGTACAAATCTATTCACTCTGCTCTGTAAGACATTCAGATGGGGGCGCCGTTACTGTATCAGAGGTTGGACAACAAGTTCCACAGGTGTGGATTGTCACATTTCCTTCCGTTTTGAGCCACACAGTTGCTTGTGCATGTCACGGCTCAAATACGGGTAGAAAACGGATGATGGATGGCCAGGAGATCTAAGCGGCCAGGGAAAGTAATTACAAACTTTGCCAAGGGTAGAAATATTGTAGATAAGCATTACCGGAATGTCCAGGTGGAAGGAAAAAGCAAACAGATGAGACTCTGTGAAGGTCAAGATGTTGTTCTACCACAACAACAATAATGAGGCCACCAGCAATTCAACTAGTTCTGTTTCCAACATGAAACATAAAATAAAGCATCACAGAGGGTTTAGTCCTTTCGCTGGCGATGGAAGTGGGCAGTTAAGGAACAGATTTCAAATGGGAAAAAAGGGATGTTGTCACAATTTTCATGCCGTCCAGCGGGAATCCCTCAAGCTGGATGACTTGGCAGGCGAGTGAGTGTGTTATGTAGGGCAGGACAGATCTGGTATCTTGCCCAGGTTGGGTTAATTACGTCCCGTCAACCTCTGGGAAGAAGCCTGAAAAATTAACTGTCAGTATAACATGTGTTTAGGTGTGTGTGGGTGGATTTTTCCCCCAAGAGACTGTCTATTCTTTATCATTCTGTGCAGGTTCATACAACATTGTAGGTGTATTTTGACAGAATAATTGCTTGATTGTGAGAAAAGGGTCTTATTAATTTATGGAAAAGTGGATTTGCACAAAATCAAGGAAGTATTTGTTTAAAATATGAATAGAAGGAAGGAGAATAAGTATATACAGTATATATGGCATATTTATAATATATATATACACTCCTTTGAGGTATTACAGCACGTCACTGGTGGGACATCTTTCTACCTTATTTACCCCTAAAAGGTTCATAGTAGTTACCTTAAGGGTTCATATTAAGGTACTAATATGCACCTTTTAGGGGTTGATAAGGTATATAATTGTCACTTTAAGGTTACTTCCACAGTGACAAGCCTCAGAAGGTAAATTTTTTTTCACATTTTGTCAGATAATATTTCAGGTGTGTTAAACAGCCAGTAGCATAAAAATGTCAAGCTTACGTAAAATACGGAACAGGTTAAATGGAAAAATCTTCCAGAATGTGTATTAATTTAGCACACACACTCCTGCCCATTAATGGTTGATCCTGGAGACTTGAGTAACCCCAGAGTGCAGAAGTTTAGATGGTAAAAATCAATGGAGTATGCAATAAACATAAGCAGCCTAATGTGTTTCTGCATCAGGCTTCACAATTCGATTCCTGCTCCCCAACATAATGGAGAGTTCCAGCAGGTTAAGGGGGCTGAAAACCGCTGTGATTGAAAGGTAATCTAATGAAGTGACACATGATATTTTGCATCCGTCTCAGGCGAACGACTGTCCAACTCAAAAGAGGAGAGATGAATAAATAAATAAATTAAAATAGAGGTTGTATTGCACTTACATGAATCGTGAGGATGAATGTGCACCGTGACTAAAAGCCTGACTGTATGTAAAGCAAAGAGAGCGGGCAGTGTGCTATGAGAGGTGCTGTGTTACGCTGTTGATGCTGTTTAGAGTGTATTGAGACGTCTGTATGTGTTTCTGTAGTGTCAGATGCAGCATCAATATGAGACATAATTTTTCCGGCATGACTTGCAAGTAAAAAAATAAAATAAATAATCTCATAGACTCACATTGAAAGAGGGAGCCATGTGTTAGCAAAGTAAATAAATAAATCACCCAGAAAAAAACAGCCAGAATAACATTGCAACCACTTTTTCCCCCAGAAAAAAAGGAGAGAGCAAGAGAGAGAGAGAGAGAATGTATTGCTGTTGCACTGTTGATATAATCTGGTATATATAGACATAGTAAAACTTTACTCTAAAGCAGGGGGCTTCAAACTGGTGAAATGGGCACCCCCTGGAGTCCACAAGGGGGTGCTATAGGGGGTCAGCAAAAATTTTTAGGGGACAGAAAGTTTGAAAATGGAACAAAGCATGTGCTATGTCCCATGTGCTATAGTTTGCATATAAGAATCGAGTCAGAGAAGTGTGCAAGATTTCTCGCTTAATTTCTTAAATGAAAATCGAGCAGGATTTCTTCAAGGAAAGACTCTCTTTTGTACTGGCAGATGTGAATACCAAGGCATATATTTCCCTGGGCAGATTGACCTCTCCACTCTCTTCCCTCTTGCTATCTTTCTGACTCAGTCTTCACACGTGTTCATTGGAGGTGCCTGCAGCCTTTATTTTCCTAGTCATTTCTCGGCTCTCCTTCCAAAGGTAATAAATTTGGCTCTTAACTGTCTCTGAAGCAGAGATCAGGGAGAGAGATTAGATGGTGCACACTAGATCGATGGCACATGGCAGGCGCATGAGTTCAGTTCTCTTTCTGCCACCAGAGCATTGTTTCCAAGAGTTCTCCGTCATATAGAAAAACTTCCATTCACTGTTTTCCAAATGGTCCGCTTGATTGAGAAACATGGCACCCTTTTATTTATTTATTTTTCATTTATTAAGAAAGCTGATAGAACACTATATGTTCCTTCTTTTGAATTTACTCTTTTTTAATTGCAAAGACGTTTTCTGCTGTTATAAATTATTTGAAGGTTATTTATTTGTACAGGTTTTGTAGCAAGTGTAGTGAGAGATGGACACAAAAAACAAGATTACATGTTATGTGCATTGTAGATATTTTTATTAATATTTGTATTAATATTTATTTGTCTAGAAATAATATTTTATATTATATAGACATAATTATTAATATTTTGTTTGTTATGATTGCATTTTATAAAATTTTAAAAGTGCTATTTGTTGTATTGCTAGTGCTATTTACTGTTGCTAATATGATCTTTTCTCTCATCTCTCTTCCAGGTCTGCCAAATAGTGTTGGTCCAGTTAGTAAGTAAACAAAGTCAAAGATCTATATCAACCGGAAGTGCGATATGAACAGCTTTGCTTCTCACTTCACTTCAGGTCCACTTCTGGTTAAACATCTATTTCTGATTTTCATTAGATCTATCGGATATAAACTGTGCAACCTAATCTGATTGGTTTGGAAGTTGGAACAGGGTTAAGTTAAACTATTTCTAGAAAACAGCAGTTTGCCATAGTGAAGTTTATGGATGGACTAATTCAAATGCTGACTTACGCTTTGCATGCATTTAGAATACCATTGTTTTTTCTTGTTTTTTCTTTTAGATGTGTTATAAATGCTACAGGGGGTGTAAAGCAGTTCAGGATCTCGTCTGAAGTAGAAAGAGGGGAAGATCATTTTAATATGAGAAATGCAGTTCTGTGTTGTATTATCTGGTCATGCCAGGGGCCTCATAAGCCAGCAGACAGATAGAGTTACAGGCGCAGGGAGGTTGAATGTGAAAACTGGAGCCTCAGAGATATTGAACAAGTCAGAATGCATGTAGAGCCCTGAATATTTCCACATGCTTCACTTCTCCTGAGTCCAGGACAAATATACACATTTCCTCTTTGGATAGATTGGTATAATATATCTCAGGTGTATGGAATGACCTTACACAAATCAAATATTCAATAATGAACATTGTAATTTTTACAAGAGTGAATGGAGTCTGATTTATACATTTGATGTTTCCAGTGAACAAAAAAAACTTGCACTAAGGTTGTACTTTTCATCAGAAATGTATGTCAAACCAAGTGGACACTCCCTTCTCCTCTTCTCAAGTATGTTTTGTATTTGGCCGTATAGCATGGCCTGTGCTGTGCCATTTCTGCATGGGCTCACTCCATTATTTCTTATTTCAAATGTCATGCTACTGTACCATGAACATTCACTCACTGTCCTCATGGTGAATTTACACACCTCCATCCAGAAAGACACAAAGAGGAGACACTCACAATGCAACCAGGGTCCCAAACAGCTTCATGTTACTTTAGCACTAAAACTGTATTCTGGCCATCACTATAACAATTATAAACACAATTCTCTCTTCCTTCACAAAACTATAGAGAGCACTCGTAAAGAGTGTCCTTGAGGACGGAGATGTTATGCCCGAGACTGAAAAAGAAAACACTGCAGTTTCCTCAGAGTTGCTTGAGGGTAATTGAATTCTTTATTGACTTTTCCCAATTCTATTTCAAGTTTATTAAGCCTGCCAGAATTGCCTAATGCAGGCATTAGAGCAAAATTAATATTTTAAGATGAGATTTTGGCTATACAGGATTGCGTTTCATTACTGGGTTTGGCATTGATTAAAATATGTCACTTCTCATTTATCCAAATTTTCACTAACAAAAACATTAATGAAGAGCAGATGCGACGAGCATCACTCCTAATCACTTGCTAATACGGAACACATTTTATATCAATAATGAAGCTCTCAAAGTGGTCCCATGAGTATCACGACAGTGGCTTCTGTGTGTGAGTGTCATGTAATGTGATGAGAGATGAGAGCTGGATTTGTCCATCACTCTGAGGTCAGATCCCTTCCAAACTGATAGCGACTCCAGTGGTTGTCAATTGCTGCATGCTCACTCTTTGTGTCTCGCTGGGTAAGAAAATTAAAGAAAACTTCCATGAAAAGGGTTGTGGAAAAAAGCGTTTCTCCAAATATTGGATTAGTTTGCTGGATCCAAATGGTGCATTTATGTTTTTTTTTTAAGTTTACAAATTAAAGCTAAAGGCTAAGAATTATTAGAAATAATTGTAAAAAAGAAAAAAAAACGTTATTTTTTTATGAGATAACAAACAAAGCAAATTTATTGATGAGATGATGCTGACAAACCAAGTACTAATCTAAAGAAAGAGAAGCACTTTATGATGTTGACAAACCCTGAACTCACATTATGTTATTAATCTTACAGAAATTATTTGCTTTTCATCTTTAATTTCTCTCATAAAATATTACTGGAGCTTGAACTGAAAACTCATAGTTAAGTTCACGGAATTCCCCAAATCACATGGAAAAAGAATAATTTCTCCCAATGTGATTGGACATAGAGGCCATTTCATAATGGGTCTTCAAGATGGTTTTACTCTGTCAGTAACCTGCGTTTGCATGCATTCCGAGTCCCCAACCACCATGCTATGTCCCTGGTGAAAAAAAAAATCAAATTCATAGACGGTGTCCTTACTGGAATTCCTACACCCTGTCCTCGTTTCACAGTGTGTCCCACACACTGAGGTCAACCACGAAGCAGCACATAAGGGACTTAACCATGTTTGTGTTGGATGGATGGAGCATTTGGTTTGGTCTTCTCACTTTAGTGCTGCCTCTGACATTGACACGAGGCTGCTCCATTCCCAGCCTTAATATTTCCGCCTCTAAGAAAATGAATTGTATGTAATTATGAGGATATTCCCATCAAATTGTCATTTCAGTTGTTAGCTCTTTTTTGTCATACAGAACCACACTTCAAATGAATCAATCTGATAAATTGAACAAGCATCTCGAGCAACTATGATTACACATGCGCACAATCCAGTCTCACATGGTGCACCCGAAAGACTGACAGAATTTCCCTTCATCGCTGTCAGCCGTCATTCCCATGCATTAATATAGAGTAAGCCACAAAACACAGCTCAATTACATACAATCTCTAGAGATGATCTGTGATTGGTCTATTGGTTGCTTGTTCTCATCGAGCCTAACAGCTCAACTTTATGAATGACCCATCTGGAGATGTGTGTAGCTGTTTATGTGTACATGAGTCCAGACTGGACCCGTCCTAGTGCATCTAACATACGACAGCCACTGCATTCAATTAACACCTGATTTCTCCTGTATGCATGCAGTTCGGCAGAACATTTCATCCCTAGGTGTCGCTAACCGAAATCAAGGTAGGGTAAATTTTTAACTTGGATACAATTTCCTTTGATCTGACTCACAGAACGATTTTTAGGCTGTTGTAAGAGTGAAACAGATTCAGCAGAAGTATGCTGACAGCTAGTCTTTTTTTCATATTTGTTGTACTAAATCATTCCAGATGGACAAAAGTCTTCTTTTTGCTTTTTCTCTTTTACGTACCAGTTTCTGACATGTCTGAAAGCTGTGAGATTTTTGAGCAATCAGCATTTCTAAGAAACAAGCTGAACAGCCATAAAGACACACACAATGATTTAAAGCGTTACGCCCTCCATTTTAATTACGCATGGCGCTCTCTCTTGGGCCCCCTCAATATTTTCTCAGTCCTGCTGGGGAGTTTTCATAGATAATCCATTGCGCAGATGTCCAAAAAAAGAAGCATCACACAAACAATGGTCCTGAATAAACAGCGTTTTTGATTGAATTGGGGGTTGGAGGTTAGTAAAAGACATAATGCTCACTGCCCCTTGGTTTGTTTTGTGACTGCAAGATGAGCTGATAACTTTGGGATTGTTCTGAGCCCTGTTGTTCTGCTGCTGAGTCGGACTGACAGTGGGACGTGGGGATCTAAGCCTTACGCGCTCTCACACAAGAAGTCTGGTGAAGCTCAACTAGACTAATGCCAGCTGAGCAGTTTCTGCCAGCAATGCAGGCTTTTTCTTTTCTAAAGCCATCGAAAACTTCCAACCACAGCAGCTGAAGTGAATGAAACGTGCACTGTGCAAATTTGTGTTATTTTTGTATCTTTTTTTATTATTTATGACAAAGCAACAGGATTTGAATAGTCTAAATTCTTGTTTTATTGTCAACTTCATGCTTTTGGTACAGACAGTATGTAGTGTTCATATTATCATTAGGGTTTCTGTTGATTTAATATGTTTTTATTTGATTTATTTTGTCTTTATTTTGTCTAATAGCTCCTCAAAGTGCTTTGTCAACTGTTCCTTCTGTACAAGTTGCAAACAGTAAGAGAGGTAGGAGGACTAGATTCATATACTCTCACTATTCTGTGTCAGTGTATGTTGTCCGAATTACCCCCTTCACCATGCCCTGAATGAATCCAGAGTCCTGTACCTTCTGTACTTGCAGAACACCTACCCTTGACCCTACTACTCCCACTCTGCATAGTATCAAGATATACCAGTAAAAAGATACTGATTTTAGTGTATTTAGCCTACTTAATTGTTTACTTTGTTTTATGATCAGCTCCATCCTGAATCATCATGGAAGCTCTGTACCAAATTCCTTAGAGACACAAGTCTTTGAAAATGGAGGAGACGGATGAATCAGAAGGGAAGTGTTCAAATCATGTTGACTTTGTCAGATTAATGGGTTATATAGTGTTTCTGATCCGAGTGTGAATGAGAACATTGAATCTGATATAATTCCGCAGTGGCTCACAAACGAGAAGCCCGTAATTTTTTTTTTTGTTAAAGTGGGCCCTCTAAAACATTTTCCAGGCAGAATGATTGACATATCCAGGCAGCTTTAGAGATCGCTTTACAGGAGATATCTCTGTCTCAACTCCTCCATTCGGGGGACGGAGGAAAAGGCTGCAGAGGAGGCCTGACCTCAATCCAGATCTCGATAATGAGAAGCCCTCCATTTCTACCGAAAGCCCTGGAATCATCTCAGGGGGGAGAGACGTGGAGGCTTTATGAGTGTAACTCGGTGTGAGAAGATTTGTCAGACCCCCTGGGTTGAGGGCACTGGCCAGTTGACCAAGTGTCCCTGGCAGGTCAGGGCAATGCCATCAGTTTGTTACGTTATGCAGCATCTGAGCATCGAGATTCAACTTCACTGTGAAAGTAGGACAGACTCCTTGTGGGTCCTGGATAAAGATTGTTTGGTTTCTTTGGAGGCTATGGGGAAATAGATAGGAAGTTATTTCTGATTTGCTTGTGCTATTTCTCATTTTGGAGCTGACAGAATCAATACTGGAAAAAAAATGCATTGTCTTTCATTTTTATGGCAGTAGTTTTGTGGAGAGGATACAGTTTGTGTACCCGTTTTCGACCTGAGAGGCTTTGTTATTTCGGGGGCATAGAAAATAGAAGCCATTGTTTTATTCTCGTGTTTGAAAGTTCCAGCTCCTTCACTACACCCTTCCATCATTTCTGTGAGACAACTCTCCACGAGCAATAGAATATAAATACAGTGGATGTAAATTTCAAATCGCAAGTGCACTTGCATTCTGCCGAGATTGAAAATTGCATCTGTTTGTGTTTAATTTCCGTGTAACATTCCTGTTTTTATTTTCCTCTTCATCCCTGTGGTTTGCTCGAGGTGAACTCTCTAATAACAACACCGCTTCTCCATTCATCTTACGGTGATCTTACATCTAATACCGCTTCTGCTGTTTCAGACCATCCAAACCTTGCATGCCATGGTGCCCCTCTTCTGCAGCGCCGCCGCAACTCGCACACACTTACCCTAAACACAGCCACATCTCTCTCCCCTTTTTGCAAGACTGCGAATGTTTCAGTCACTCCAATCGTTGCAGTTACATCGAGGTGCTAAACACCGTCATTTGCGTGAGCTGTAAGCACAACACTAGAGGGCAGCACTGCCAGCTGTGCAAGCTTGGATACTACCGCAATGCCTCGGCAGAGCTGGAGGATGAGAATGTTTGCATAGGTCAGTCCTCCAGCACTCCCATCCACCAACACGGCTTATCGCACATCAGACTTCCCCCAGATCTGCCATCTGGCTTTCTGTTTCTATTGCTCCATCATCCTTCATCACTTCACTCCCTTCTCTGTATCTGTCCATCCCTCTGTCGTCACCCGAGTCTCTTCACGCATGCTTGTGTGCATCAGCAAAGTCACGTTGATCCAAATTCCCTCAAGTCTTTGACTACAAAACCAGCAAGTATGACGTGATGATCCACAGCAGAGTAGGAAAAATATTGTAATTTTTAATGTTTGTTACAAAGCTAAGAAAATGAAAAGAAGAAGGTAGAGCGGAGAACAAGAACAGACATTAAGAAAAAAAGAAAGCCAGACAGGTGTCATTGAGAGACAGAGGTGATGTCTGCCATCACACTTCCCCAGTGAGGTGTCTGGGAGGGCTCGCACCCACAGAAAAAGGTGCTGCGTGTTGCATATGTCACTCTGGGAAAGAAGAAGCAAGAGAAAGAAGAGAGCAAGAGAGGTGTCTGGGAGCAGGTCACGACTGTGTGACTTACACACACATCTTTAGGTGTTACAGGTCACATACTCTGACCTCCACCTCAACCTAGCAATATCTGTAGTCACGGGAGGGCCACATAACTGACAAAATATGTGAAAAGTGCATCTTGGAAGAGGTTTATGTTAGTGTTTTAGCAAAGCATTAATAATTAATAAGCATTAATGTCTTCTACTTAGAAATTAAACAAGTACCTGCTCTGTAGCAAAACCTTAAGGCAATGTTCACACTTGTAAAGAGTTCTGTTGTGCTAGGCATCTGAAAACATTGATGAATTTATACTGAAAAGAAGTAGGAGAATTTTAAAAAGGAATGATTAGTTTCCTCCAAAAAAGAAATGTTTAAGAACAAATGTACTGCCGTGATCAGAAATGCCATTACACGCATCAGGCTACATGTCCAAGTTCTTCAGAGAATTAATCAGATTCTCTTTTGAATTGATAATATTAAAACTTTTGCGTTTTTAATACCCCTCAGTAGCTCAACATCTGCTCAAATTAGCTGTCGTCTTCGTACAGTAGATATCGCAGAAATGCAGGTTTTGAATGGCACTTCAGCACCATAAGCAGAACCCAGTTAATTGCCCAGATGTCTTTGGGTGATCCATGACCTGGAGAGTTACTGACATTGCCAAAAACTTATAGTCAACATGAAATCAAAATTGACTATTTACTGGGATAAAATCAAGTCACACTCTCTTTTTTCCAATCAGTATCTTGTTTTACTCAGAAATACACCATTAAAATTATGGAAGTAAAATGCATTGAAAATGCCACTTTATGTAGACTTTAATAAAATGGTCACCTTTAAGGACATTTTCTGTTGTATCAAAGGATTTAATTATGAGATATTTCTGAACAGAATCAGTGTCAGAATCAGTGGACAACAATCGAATTGGCTAATCAGGAATCCTCCACCACGTGTCTGTGTTTCTGTTTCTCTTTTGTATGTTCACTTTCCTTCATGCCACCCATCTTTTTTTACACTAAACACAATATAGAAATATATTCTTGTAAAAAAATGTTCAGAATGCACAGTGCAGTCATTCGGTAACGATCAACGCTTTTGCATTATGGGACCAAGATGCTGAACATTCACAAACATTCGTTTTCCTTACTAAACTAAATGCCATTGTTTCCATTTTCCACCCTCACTCACCTTCCCCAGCTGATGCTCCTCATTTTATTCCTTTGAAATGGTAGATGTGAGGTAAATATTCAGTTATACATGTTATAAATCTGTCCTTTGTAGACTAGCAATGTGCATGAAGGAGGCAGCAGAGGCCCATTTTGAGCAAAAATGCTTTTTGTGTAGAGGGACAGAGGGACTTTACTTATGAGCTGATCTGAGAGGCTGAAGACCACAGACCCCATCTCTCCACTGTGTGTATGTGTGTGTCTTGTTTCTACAGACTGTAATTGTAATCCCTTTGGCTCAGACACTGATCACTGTAATGGCACAGGATATTGTAAATGTAAGGAGGGAGCGACAGGGGCTAAGTGCCATGAGTGTCTGCCAGGATATTTGTGGGACAATGGCTGCAAATGTAAGTAGAACCTCCACCAAACCTGCAGCTTCAGTCCCCTGCTCTCTTTTGCCTCTCTCATTCTCTTCCCCTCCCTCCCTTCTTCTCTCCCTCTTTTTACTTTCTCTGTTTGCTGCTGCTTTATTGGCTTACCCGGGAATGAGCAGCTTGGTTTGCTTACAGCACTTGGAAAAAAAAATCTTGGACTGACTTCCATTCAAGGCTCAGTCACACCTGTTATACTGCCTTGTTAGTGGTTTAACTGCAGAATTAATTTTGAAGGAATTATTATAATCATTAATTAGCATAGTTTTTATTAATAGTATTATTGTAGAATTTTTCTCAAGCACAGAGATAAACCATGCAAACAATCCTCAGGCACAATCCCATGCACATGCATTTGCGCAGATGAACAAAGACAGCTGAGCTAATATTTGGAGTGAACAGAACATTTGACGCCTGCGCTGTTTTCTCTGGCTGTTTGCTGTTATGGCCACACTGTGATGGCTGGTTCTTCTCTCTTGGCTCCAAGCGCTGTGGTTGAAACGATCCGTAGGTCAAGTATTGATTTGTATTCTTCAGTGGGCTTCCAGCATCAAAGGTCAACATTTACCAAAGCCTCAGATATCTCAAAGGGACATTGGCAGTAATAATGTGAGATGGACAGTCCAGTAAATATGTGTATATTGAGTTCAATGCGGCTTTGAACCCAACACAACAAGGCTGGTTTAGTGTGAGAAGCAGAAATTCACAACATCACACATGTTAAGAGATTAAAGTAAACCAGAGCGTTTGGTGCAAATAGTGACATGTGGCAAATGCACTCCCATTACTGTCTGTTCTGAGAGACATATTGAAAGGAAAAAAGAGGTGTGACTCTTTATACACATCCATCATTCACCAGCATGAAGATCCATTTCCATGTGACTGTTTCAGCCGATGGTATGTACTACAGTAAAGCACCATAACCATTTTAATTTGATGTTGTCATCAACACAGACACTTTTTGTTAGATGTCCTAGACAAGAGATTTAAGTTTGTTGCATTCATCTCATTCAAAGTCCCAAAGGCCATAATGTGTGTAATAAATGCAATCTAAGGCTCATTTTCCTGATCCCATCTATCTGTATGCAGATTTCGGTATGCAATTAAAGCTCAAATCTTTCTTCAAATAAGCCTTTTCTTCTCAGTGCACCATGCAATCTACTGCTGTTCTCAATAAATATTATCCCTCTTATCAAAAGCAAACCCAATAAATTGCTCACTTTATTCTCTTATTACCATTTATTTACATGCAAGCAAATTGTGAATGCATAATTAGAGGTTGAGCACATTTTTCCTGCTTGTGAATCCACATGCTTTAAACATACAGACCTTCTGTTGCTCTCTTAAACTAGGTGCTTATATTTATTAGATGAAAATGCCTTCTTGTGCATGGGCTCTAGAGAGTGTGGCGTAGGCTATAGAGGTTAAACTGTTTGTAGGACCAACAGCAGAGTAAATAGTTTCCATTGGAAGTTAAAGGTGTTTGTTAGCACCCATAACAGCTATAAATCACTGACGCGGCTCTTCTTGCCTCAGCACCTTTTCCTGGTCATCAGGGGATATCAAACTGAGGAGACAGAAAGAATTGAACTCACAGGGTGAACCAAAAAGACCCCAACTCTTGAGAGATACATCACCTGCAAAACTGTGCCTCTTTTAAGTCTTCCTTCAGATGAAGCACAAGAACACTCTTGCCAATGGCCACAGTTGTGGAAAAGGCAATCGATCAATTTGCTCTCTTTCCCTCAGAGGTGTTCTAAAACTCTTTCCACAGACACAGACCACTCATTACCTCTTACTTCTTTCTGTACAATCTCCTTTTCATGAACAGTTTGGTAAAAGACAACATTGATGTCTCGATTGCAAACAGTCAATATGTCGTACACTTCTAAAGAATCACTTCATTTATAATAGGAAACATCTACAGTAGTCTAAACGTGTTTTGGGCAATAAAGGAGATTTTAAATCTCCTATCCAGAACACTGAATCGATAAAGCCTCTTTAATAAGCAATACAGTTGTTTTTATTCATCATTTCTTTCTTAAAGGGCAGACTAAACATGGTAAAAAAAAATTTGCTCAGAGACAGCTGATGGTCACGTCATGACTACACCAGAGTAAAACATGAACTATTAAAAAAAAACAATTGGAAGTTGTAAATAAAACAAAGATTTTTAGAGTACATTTTACAAGAAAATATTTCAATCTTTCTACTTCAAAATTTTGCATTTTATTCAATTTATTTCCATTGCTTTGGAATTCGTTGAAATTTACTTGCAATGTCCGAGTGAAAATTGTTTCAAAGTAAATTCTACAACAATTTTTTTCAGTGTACTGTTGTTGTTATATTCTTTTATTAAGAAAATATTTAGATAAACTAATCTAATCTAGATAATCTAACCTAATTCAAACTCAAGTAGCTTAGTGAGGGCAACTAGAACTTGGTTATAATGCCCATATATTTCTGTACATTTGGACTCTGATTTCAACAAGTCTTTAAAGATCGGACAGAGAAGACTGAAACAAGTGAAGTGTCAAATTAGAATAATTTAGCACATTTTAATTTACTGTAATTATTATTATTATTATTATTTAAAAAATTGTGTCAGTATGTACTAAACATTAAGAAATGTATGATTTGCCTACGAATACTAATGAGACTAATACTAATTAAACACATTCAATCTTTATGCATGTTAATCACAGATAATTCAAATAGCTTGTTCATCTTGCAGGTACAATTTCTGGGATTTTGTTTTGTGGTACGAGTCTGGGTTTTCACTAGGGAACGATTGATCTGCATCATAAAAAGACTCGGCAGTGATGAACAGAGGGAATTATGGACACAAACGGGCTCATTTTTCCCTGACTCAACCATAAAGCCTGTATCCACACAGGAGATGGAGAGAGAGAAGCTGGAGACTATGTAGTTCTGCCAGATCCCTAATCAGCCTGTTATGACTGGGAGAGTTACACCTCCTCTCTCTATCATCCAGCTCTTCCTGTCAGCTCAGTCCATCCTAAAATAGCTCAGTAACAGCCATTAAACAGATGCTGCAAAGCCCAAGACCTCTCAGAAGCATTCCTCGCAAACTGATAGAGGTCAATGTTTGTGTGTTAGATGATTATATTCCAATCAGCAGGATTACAGTGCTTTGAAGACGTGAGAGGCATGGCTTGTTCATCCGTTTTTATTAGTCTCTGTTGGTTTTGCTAGTTTGCGCTGGAATTTGTTTGCCTGAAGCTTGCTCAACAGCTTACGTCCGAGGTCTGGCCTTAGTGTCCCTGTTGTTAAATATACTAATGCACCTGATACACCTGTGGGGTGCAGTGCCGCCATGGGATGCAGAATGCAAGTCATTGTCAGGGATTTGGAGAAAAGTCTGCTGTGTTAATGGTTTGGGTTAATGGCAGTGCTGAGATCTCTGAGAGACATTTTCTTTATTTTTATTTTTTTAAATAACTGTGTTGAGGTGGCCGTTGAGCAGGGATGCCTTTTTGAAACATTTTTAATCAAATCTCAAGAGTTCATTTTTCTGTGAGAAAAAAAGTCCATCAATATTTTTCACTTACGAATTTCTATTAATAATGATATTACGTTTTCTACTTGTGATTCATTTCAATCAATACTTTGCCTGCACTTTGTATTGACTCTTTCTGTCTATTTTCAGCATTATATGAATATATGATATCTCAGGATAGAGCTCTATGTAATCATAGAAGTGTTCATACTTGTTTGGGTGCACAGCCCGGGTGTGCGACAATGAACTTCTGCGTTGCCAAAACGGCGGTGTGTGTGTGAACAATATCCGTTGTCAGTGTCCTCCGGCGTACACCGGCCTGCTGTGTGAGAAACCGCGGTGTGAAAACGAGCCAGGAGGCTGCGGAGGGTCGGACTCGGGCCAGGCTTCCCTCCACCCGCATGGGCTGATCCTGCTTTTGCTGCTGTCCATCCTGGGTCCCGTTTTCCACGTGGAGATCTGCTAGACCACAGTCCTTTGAGAGGCAGATCTCCAACTGTCCAGCTTCTTCTGTATGAGCAGCGCACCAGACTCACTGACACTTGGCCGGCCATGTGGAATGTGCTCAAATATCAAAGCGAAATTTCTGAGGATGACAGACAAAATACAATAAATAATACATCAATAAAAATAGTATTTATAAAAATTTATTCAATATGAAAATCTAAAAGTAAAAAAAAACATCAAGGTGTTATTTATAGAATTTACCTGAGCATATGCTTCATGAAGCAAATAAGAGGAAGTAGAGACGTGAACTAAGCCATAATACATACTCACTCCCCTAACAGAGCGAGAGAGTGACAGGGATTGGAGCGGACAAGACTCATCCCTTTCCTCTCTTTATCACCACGGCAACGGGAGCTGCGTTCAGCCAGCGGCATGTACAAGTAAAGCCAGCTGCTGCCTCTCACCTGAACCATTCTGGGTATCATGTTGGCTGTAGACTGCTTTTGGCTATTGTGACACGGAGCGATGGAAAACTGTCCGGATTGTGTGAATTGGCACTTGCAAAAAAAAAAAAAAAAGCAGTAATAATATGGAGAGAGACTCAAGTAAAGAAACAAGCATTCTTTGCTGTCAGTGCATTGTGGATATAAGGAAATCGATTCAGACTGTCGCATTTGATCTGCTTTCAAATTGAGCTCGTCCTGCCAACACGTCCCATCCCACCTCGACCCACCCTCGAAAATAAACTTTAGAGTGTCCTTTGTGTCAAAAGCCCCGTCCTTCCTTCGCCCTGTGCTTTTGTGAATGTTATTCTGTAACCCTTGATATTTTTTTAATATATATAATTTTTGGGTTTTCCTTTAAGTCTGTGTGATGTTAGTCACACTCATGTGGCACACCCCCTTATCCTTCAAAAAATATGTCTAAAAAACTCATGACTTTGAAATGTGACAGACTGTTTGCTGAGGCCACGGTCAAAGATGGATGTTTTCACCCAAACAGATGAAGTGCTTAGACAGTCATCAGTGTATTTAATTTTTGTATTAATACAGAAGTTATTTTCTTGACAGAGTAAAGATAATGTATAACATATACTTTTTTGTAATATTGCTGAAATGTGTTTAAGGGCAGCATTTTAGTGCATTCAATCAAGGTGCATACTGAATTAAATATCTGATTATGTTCGTCTGAAATACGACTTTTCTTTTTTTTCCTTCAGTTGGATTGTGTAGTTTTCCTAAAGTATATTGGCAATGTGCTGGCATCAAAGAATATCAGTTTACATACAGTATATATATACTGACGTGTAAAACAGGAAATCACACCAAAGGACATTCTAAATGTTTTCTTGTTGCTTTAACACTGAGAAATTTAAGTGAATAAAACTTTAAAAGGACTTTATGTTGCTGTGTTGTACTGTTTTATGTGTCTTTCATTGCAAAATGAAGAACCTAAATTGTCCCTGTGATGAAAGCGTGATAAATAATCTCATATGTCTTTATATAACACATGCATATAAATTGCATACTTTGCAGAATAGTGGAAAATGCTTTAAGCCTCAGAATTTTCTGCACACCATTTATCTCAAATTCAATACAGTAATGATTTGTTTCAGTGAAACGCATTATCGGATGGGCAGAATTAAATATTAACAGCTATTGATGTTTGTTTGAGAGCCTGTTTTATGGAGTTGGTCTTGCCTGTGAGTAAACTGCCCATTTATCGCACGGGTTTGTTTTAAACAGAAAGTTTTACAGCCTTTTTCACGATTATAAAGTGTGTGACAACACGGGCCTGCTAAATGATTAATTTTGAAGGAGATGCTCCAGAAACATTTGTCTTGTGGTTCTTAGTAACTCAGTACTAATTTATGACTCTTGTGTTTGTGTGTATTTTTATGTTTGTGTGTCTGCTTTGAAAACAAAAGAAATGTCGATGAAGTAATATTGCACTTTCATGTTAGTTATAAACCAGTCCACATAATATTTCATTTTGGAAATTCAGCATAAGTGACCAAATAATGACACTTTATCAGCTGTTTCTTTACATTAGAATGGCACTTTAAGAAATGGATGACAGTATTATTAACTAAAGTGGTGGTTGTTTTGAAAGATTCACTTGTTAAACTTTCAGTAAAAGCTAAAGTGATATGGGCCGACCCAATATTCTGCATCGTTATGGCAGAGCAATTATTGGCAATCCCTGCAATAGTCTCTGTGCTATCACAGGTTACACTGATAAACAAATTACACAATGCACTGTGAACTTTTATTTCATTTTCGAAAAACAGGTCAATTACAATACCATATATGTATATTCTCATACATACATCGTTTCAACAGTATATGTGTAGTGAGTTTCAACAGTATTTTTTTTTTATAATACATAATGCACGTTTTTATATAGAAACTGTACATTTATATAAGTGCATTTATATAAGTTATATAAAAGTTATTTTTGTTTTCAACCATAAACCCTAAGAAAGATCAACTGGTCCAGAGATGCTCTTGTAGTTTTTTCCTGGCTGAGAAAAATAGAGTTCACCCTGTGTACATTTGTGTTCTATTCTTTCAGAAATGCAACGTTCTCTTTATCAAGGCAGAGATATGCAACACTGACAAAGAGAATAAACAATTCAGTGCATCTATATGCTCAGCAGATCCACTGTGTATTCAACACATTTTTTGAACCAAGCCAACAAACAGGCTCAGCCAAAATCAGCTGCATCATTCCAGTCGTTCACTCCTATTTATAGGAGGAAAGATATTGCAGATTA